TAAATAAAATAAATGAATTTTTATTTCTTGAGTGAAAATTTTCTTTTATACAGACTTAGGATATTACATAAAGACTGCAGAGTAGCGAAAATCACATTATGTAACATCTCATTAAGATAATAGGATATTTGAATGCATATATTCGTATAATTTCTATTTATCTATTTCTTATTCACATTATATTGAAGCAACTATTAACTCTTTTCAAAAATAACAGTTTGGTTATTGTTCAATATTAAAGTTGTTTCATACTATAACTATATACCGCAAAAAACTATATATAATTTATAATTTTCTTTCTTTTGCAAATATTAATGATGCATTATTATAAAGTATACTGTCATGTAAATATAAAAGAATTGTCACTTAAAGATAAAATAACAACATAGGATGAAACATACAGGAAGACTAATATTTTTTGATTGATTTTCGTATAAGTGCCAATCTTTGTTTATGTGCTTCAGTAACTGTTGCACGTTTGTATGGGCGTACTTCATCTGTGCCAAAACCAGGTATCCACATGTTCCAATTTCTTTCTAAAAGTTGAATAATTCGCATAAATACATTTAATCAGTAGATTATGTCCATAAATATTTGTTTATAACTATTTTTCATAACTCACCTAAGTGTAATTGTACATCTTTTACTTCTACAGTGTTTGCATGACGATGCTTAGCTAACAAACATGCTGCATTTACAGTTGTTTCTACAAAATCATCTGCCAACTGCAAAAGCATTTCTTCTACTTCTTCATCTAATTGTTCAGTGGGATCTACCTCTTTCACAAGATCTTGAAGTCGTGTTTTAGTTAAAAACTGAAATTAAAACAATGTAAAACATTGAATAAAACAAAATTTATATTTTTTATAATCAAAAACATACCTGTGGAAAATCATTGAAGGAACTTTGCTGTTGCTGTTGCGGTTGCTGCTGTTGTTGTTGTGTTGAGGGTTGCTGCACTACCTGCTGTTTTGAAGGTTGTGATACAAATTGCGTCTGTTGAGATTGTGTCTGAGGCTGTAATATCTGTACTACTGTATTACCACTTTGTATATTAGGCACGGTAGATGATGCCTGAGTGTTAGGTCCAATAGATTGTAAACTACCAAGCACAGGTGTCATGTCAGATCCGGCGTTGGTAGTTTGTATGAGTGCCGTTTGTTGTGACATTTTCTTAATTCCTTTACTTACTACGTTTCTTTTATTTAAGTAAATTCAAATAGTCGTAACCTGTAAAACATAGCTGTTTGTTATCATCCAATGCAGATTTACCGAACTACCGTGCGACACAAGCGCGATATATTCTTTAATGACATAACTTTCTAGATACGCGTTTGTCGTATTATATGAAAGTGATGTGAATGTTTACCACTTGAGGTGGCGCATATGTCGTTAATACTTGAAATGTTTCACATCACAATGTCTTGAACTTTGCGCTAAATATTTCCCCATAGCGAGTACTGGATCCCCGTAACGCTTAGTTCAGCTTGTCTGTAAAGAATGAATAGCTTTCTAGTTGTGGGCGCTGTCATCGATAGATTCAAGATGGCTATGGTGCATTACAGAAGAGAAAATTCGAAACGTTTAAACGATAATTTTTAATAATATACAACCTTGAGTTTACTGCAAAGAATTTGGTTGAAGTTTCGGTGGTATATATAACGTTAATTTCTCTCGCAAACGTTGAGAATACCACACAAAAAGAACGAAAACCAAAATGGCATTTTTCGAAGCTAGCTGATTTCAGGAAGAATCTCCAATGCCAGCGGGGAGGATGATTTCCTTAGTTTTGTGGCGATTTCGCCAGTGATCAAGGTGAATTGACTGGCTGTAAGTTTCTTGACCGTATAGTTACTATGTTTAAACGCATATTTTGTTTTTATCATGATATCATATGATATTGATAAAGCATGCTGTCATTTGAAATAAATGTTTTATAACCACTTCTTTAATAATTGGATGAACCCTATACCGAATGTATTGTTTGTAATTTCATCTGTATTATGAAATGATTAAAAAATAAATGCTTATTTAGAAATAGAACTGTTATTTGAACTCAATGTTTTACAACAAATAATATACTAACAAAATATATACATATATTGATGATACTTTATTCTTATGGCAATATTTTTTATGAAACTAATTGTATTATATAGTGTATTTACTAAATAATTATTTTCTTTTCATATGTATATATATTGTAACATAAAATTATCTATTTTCACTTTTCATTTTATACTTCTATACATACTTTTAAGTTCTACATATTTTTAGTGCTATTTGAATGTCAAGTATGACTCCTCCCTTAAATCGAAAACGAAGCTCATCTGTTAGTTTTACAAGAGCTAAAGATGATAGCGAAGATGCTGCAGATGAAATCCATATATCTTTAGCACCATATATACAAACATATTTGGCACATAGTGGACAAGGACTTGGATGTTGTGGAATTAGCCTTCCAGTACCATTCGAACGTGCAGCACCAAGATCTTGGTGGAATCCTAGATTTGATTCAGAAATACTTGAAGATCAATTTAAAAGAAGTGCCTTTCCACAAATTAGATTAAGATTCCGGTATGTAACACAGTATTGCATGTGTGTTTAATCTTATAATGAATATACTAATATGTATCATTTTAGGTATGCTTTAACATACATTTTGTTGGTTTCTTTATCATGGCTGGTATATTTTGTTATAATTGGAACAGAATACAGTACTACAACATGGCCAGCCATAGCAGCAGTTTTCACTATTGTCGGAGCAATGGTATCAGCAGTCTTATATTTAACACATACAGATTATTATAAGAGTTATGTGTTACCAATTTCATTGGGTGTTGCATCCATGCTTTGCATTCTGTCTTTACTTTTTCTCACAATAGTACCACCTTATATAGATGGCTTAACTCTAGTCGGACATTTTGCATTATGTTCTGAGATTTTGTTATTAATTTACACTGTCTTACCAATGCCGCTGTATGCTTGCGTGGGAATATCAACGATTTATTCATTTCTATTTGAATTTTTGACTGCCTACCTATATGGTTCAAAAAGTGCAAGAGAACATTTTTTTAGCAAATATGTTTTCTCAAATACTTCAACAGGGAATGATGCCATTATAGATTACAACAAAATATCAGCACCTGCATACTCATTTTTGAAAAACTTTAATAACAGTCAATTTTTTAATGTGATGCACGATGACAACGAATATACAACTGCAAGTACGAAACAAGTATCAGATTCTCAGAATTCAACACTGTTATCTGCTCTGGGAATGAATTTAAATCAAGAAACTATGATTGGAAAGATGTCTGGAGTTTTGAATGATACAAATGTTATTAAGAACTTAAATTCTAGCATAATGTCAACAATAGGCAACGTTAATTCCACTATAAACGCTTCGTCTAATGATTTAATCTCCAAAGGTATAAACAATGCAACTTCGATATTGAGAGAAAATATATTAACTCATAATAATGGTGAAATATCGAACTATTTGTTAAGTAGCAACATATCTAACCGATCATTTTCGGACGATAATTATTTTTCTACGAATCTTGGAATAAGAATCTTAATGCAGGTCTGCATTCATCTGATAGGTATACATATTTTAATAATGACTTTTGTAAGAATGCGTGGTACGTTTATGAAAGTGGGTCAATCATTATTGGTTCGACGTCAGTTAGAAATGGAAAAACAACTTAAAGAGAAAATGATTCATTCAGTGATGCCGCCTAAAGTCGCAGATTGGTTAATGGAAGAAAGCGAACGTGGAAGGGAACGGGAGGATTCTTTAAAAAAAGGTTCGATACCGTCCAATAATACAGATATTCGTTCATTATTTCGACCATTCAATATGCATTCAATGGAAAACGTTAGTATCCTATTTGCCGATATTGTTGGGTTTACGCGAATGAGTTCCAATAAAACTGCGGAAGAATTGGTTGGCATTTTAAATGATCTTTTCGAAAGATTCGACGATTTATGTGAACATCATGGATGTGAGAAGATTTCTACATTGGGAGACTGTTATTATTGTGTAAGTGGGTGTCCAGAGCCAAGGCCAGATCATGCAAAATGTTGTATTGAAATGGGATTAGGTATATTGTCTTTTTTCTTATTATATCGTACAAATGAAATATGTATGTATAAAATAATTATTACATATACTTCAATAGCCATGATAGAAGCTATAAAACAATTTGATATTGAAAGAAGAGAGGGTGTTAATATGAGGGTTGGAGTGCATACTGGAACTGTACTCTGTGGAATTGTGGGCACTAAAAGGTTTAAATTTGATGTCTGGTCTAATGATGTGACTTTAGCAAATAAATTAGAAAGTACAGGAAAACCAGGAAGAGTTCACTTGAGTGAAAAAACATTAAGCTTCCTTAATGATAGATATCTTACAGAAGAAGGAGATTTAATAAATGGTATTAATAATTATACTTTTATATATAGACAGAAAATAATATATTACTTATTCATCTTAATTCATCTTTAAAATTATATAAAACCAATTTTTTTTCATTACAGGTATTAAAACTTATTTCATTAAAGGTCGAAAATCAGATTTCACCTCTCAATTCATAATGAATATTACATCTCCGAAAAGTATATCGCCTTTGATGCAGTCGCGTCATCGTTTGGCCTCTTGTAATAGTCAATCTAAATCAAAATGTCATTATCTCCACATGGTTACTAATACAAGTAATTACAGAATGAAAGCAAATTCTCTGCCAAGTATTCTAGATTCCGAAAACGGAGATACCGATACCGCAGATGAAAAGGAGGATGCAAGTAAAAGTCCGATATCTGTTGCCAGTTATGGGAAGAAAAAAATGCGGAACAAACCGTGGAAATATTTACAGCGACAACGAACTACTGAAGAAATGACTCCTCTAGAAATGGAAGAAGCCAAAGCAATTATTGCCGAACGATCAAAAACTGAATCTCAATCATACGAAGATCGCAATGGATTTAGGCAGGTCAAAATCGCATCGATAAAAGTTCTTATTTTAATTTTCAACTATGTCATCTCATTCGTATATAAGTTGTATTTCTTTGCAGAATACATCTCAAAATGATATTGAAATGGATCCAAATCCTATACCTTCTAGTCCTTTATTGTCTGGTCAAGAGCCACTCAGTCGTGCCTCTTCTATGTGTAGTAGGAAAGATTCTGGTATCAGAAGTAATAGTAGACGTAGCAGTATACAGCAACAGGTATGCTTACTCGATAGATAATGATATAACTATATTAAAGATACTGTAATATTAAAATTTCAACAAATGGCAGTGTCAGCATGTTCTCTTCGCTCCTGCAGTTAATTTTCATATTTTAGTTATTTTTGATGAATGGTATGGCTCAGGGAGATTTACTGACACACAGAGTGAGTGGCTATTATACTTCTAGTTCGACTTTAAATTCTGTTCATGAGCCGTCTTCTTCGGTACCACCCTATCCATTTCCCCCAGCTGTTACGGACACTTTTGGTGCATGTTTTCATAAATTAAGAAAACAATCTGATCTACAATTAATCAGGTAAATAAACTAAGCTAATGTTATTTTATACGTGTTAAAAAAATATAATCCGTATGATTTTGTTTTTCGTAAAGGTGTGTTCAAGATAACGTAAGTTCTCAACGATCATACTTCGTAAAACCGCCACTTTCGAGTTTGACTCTCTTTTTCAAGAACAAAGAAATGGAAAAGGAGTACAGAGAGAATGCTCACAAGGTTAGCGAATGTATCAGTGGAAATCCACCTACTCTAGCTACCTCGAGATTCAATACGTACTTTGATATTCTAATATCGGCGTTGGTTTACACTGCCGTTACGGTCTCACTGTTTTTACTTTGCGAACCAACGTTATACTATATGATTTTTTTTGTGTATGCTACTACCATTCAAATTATAGCGGTGTCACTTTGTATTCGTCAGCTTTTATATCCGAATATGGTCCATGCAACATTGACACAACGAATATTTAAATTCTTTTCGCAATGGTATCCTTGGCATATTTGTGGTGCAATTTTAGTCGGTTTACCAATTACATCAATTCTCCTTAATTATACGTGCAGTAACTTTCATAGTTTAAATAATTTTGAATACTATTACGGCTACTTGATCTTTGTTGCTTTAGTTCATTTTTGTAATTTCACGCAACTGAATTGCTGGATGAAAAATTTTTTAGTGACATTCATGGGTGTATTGTTTCTTTATCTCGTGATGAATCACGTATTATATAATCAAGAAAATCTCGGTAATCAATTTCTCAACAACTCGTTAAATTATACACAGTCTTCGATGAATCAACGTGTTACTGATTTAATTAGGAATCAACTTAATGAAACTGCTACAAAAAAGATATCGAATAATAGTCCTATTTTCTCATCAAATTCCACAATGAAAACCGCTTTTATGAGACAACAAGAGGCAGAAGTCAGGTACAACGAACGATTATACAATTCCGAGATTTTTTTAGATATGATACTTTTACTTTTGTTAGTTTGGTTTCTAAATCGTGAGTTCGAAATTAGTTATCGGTTAAGTTTTCATGGGAATGCAGTAGCCGCGCGGGATAAAAGTTGTGTACAGTCTATGAAAAATCAAGCCGATTGGCTTTTACATAATATTATACCAAAATACGTTGCCGATCAGCTAAAAACCACTGCTAAGTATTCGCAAAATCACAAAGCCGTAGGAATCATCTTTGCAAGCATAGTGAACTTTAATGAACTTTATGACGAATCTTATTTAGGTGGTAAAGAATATTTGCGTGTGCTTAACGAACTTATCGGTGACTTCGACGAGTTGTTAGAAAAGTCGGAATTCTCGAATGTGGAAAAGATTAAAACTATTGGTAGCACGTTTATGGCGGCAAGCGGTTTAAATCCACAGGTTAGGCAGCAAAGTGAACACGAGTATGCGCATCTATTTCAATTATTAGATTTTGCTGTGGCGATGCATAAAGTAATAAACGATTTCAATCGAGATTTATTAGGTTTTAAATTAATTTTGAGAATCGGTTTTAATTATGGTGACGTTACGGCCGGAGTAATCGGAGCTACGAAGTTGTATTATGATATATGGGGTGACGCTGTAAATATAGCATCTAGAATGGATTCGACTGGAGTCGCTGGAAGAATACAGGTAGCCAAGAATGTTTTAGATGTTCTGTCAGAACAATACGAGTTCGAGCCACGTGGCCAAGTCTATGTTAAGGGAAAAGATAATATGGACGTGTTTTTATTAATAGGAAAAAAGAACCATATTGATACAACGACGAGCACTTAAATTTTTTCAGATGCCTAATGATCAAGTCGGTTGTTAAAGAAATTAATCTTTTACACGTTACATCTATATCGAGCATATAATCTTTTCCGAATCAGGCTTCTAGCAACATTTCGATCTCGTTAAGAATTGTATGAATCTGCGGTATATAAATAGTACCGTTAACGTTACACACCTGAAAAGCGTACCTTACTCTTTAATTGCTCGCTCATTAAAGATATTTATTCTTAACGAAATGTTCACTGTATTTTTTTACGTAATTTAAGAGTATCAGATGCGAAACCTACCAAAACCTACCTTTATAAAAAGTACAAAAATCAAATTGATTCGAAGTAATGAAATTTTTGCCTAATATTGTTCCGAAAAATCTGTACGAAAAACATCTATCGAGACAAATATAGTACGCATCTTCATTGTTTGTGTGCTGAATGGACGAACGATGCGAATGAACGAATGAACGTATATTAAATGACCGACTTTGGTCGTCGTCAAGTTCCTAGTATAAAACGTGCGACTTATTAGATAACTATTTGTTATCATATCTGTAAAAAGCTTTCTAATGTTTTCTTTTCTTAATTCTTCCAATTCGTGTGAGACTATACAATTGATTTCCTTTTGTAGCGCGAATAACTAATTAGAACTATTTATATTGCAATTTAAACAAAAAAAAAATACGTCGAATAACTTTCAAAATAACTCAATATCATAAAAAAAAAACCTCGAATCTCAAAACGTTCTTTAAGTTTTATTTCTTCAGCAAATTATGGTGGAGCCTCTATACTTGCTCTAGCTACAAGTACTCGTTCAGTGTATATTGTTTCTCGTTAATTTTTCGCACGATGAATATTATATTGTGAAGAACCTGTTTTAAGGTTACCATAATTCTCAATGATTCCATGCGAAGCTTGCATTCTGTTTTAGTTAGACGTATGATAGAAATGAGAATTTATTGGTATATCTTATCCTAATATTGTTTCAGGATTTACTGCATTGATTACTATATCAATAATAAAGCCGTAATTTATAAATTACCATTCCGTCATTTTTTAATCTAATGTTTTACTTTTTCTTTTTTTTTAATATCGGTGAAAAGATATACAAGATGATATAAAAACAGTGAAATATTTTCGGCATTTTGCTGCAGTTGTACTTTAGACAATTTTTAGAAGTTCAATACATGAAGCCCTTTTAAATATCCCACTTTTGTATGCGCAAACGTACATACTTATAAAAAATTATAAAATATGTCTTGGATTTTAACATTGTCTTATTCGTACTTATTTCGAAATGTGTTAATAGATTTTACAATTTATACGAAAGTATAGTTACAAGTGTAAATAAACTGAAGGAATATTTATGGGCAGAATATTTTAATTTCATTGTTATTTAATGTGCATATAATCGCATACTTTAAAGAAAAAATTGTTAAACTCTAACGCCGTAATTGGTTTAACTAGTAATAAAATATGAAACTGATTAAAAACTTGTACTTTGTTATAATACAATTTTAATATTATTTTGTTGGAAAATATAGATCTTTATAAATTTTGTTGTATAACATATGCGACATTAATATGATAGGCAAATTGACTGTATTTAACGGGAGATATAATTTAATATCAAATTTTGCTATTTGAATTATCATTTCAACATACATCGAATTAACAAACGGCACTGGTATGATTTAAAATCTTTATATAGCCAGCATTATAAATCTTTTGACTAGCACAGTCTCTATTGCGATAATGTTTCATTTTTGTCAACAATGTGCTTCACCATATAACTTCTGAATTCGTGATGATTGTCACGTAATGTAGTGATCGTGTAACATCTATGATTTTATGTAAAATATTGCCACTATTTGATGTGTAATGGCAATAGCGTAAAGTACTAATCCAATTGTCATGCGACAGCTACAGTGCTGTATTATTCACAATAATGAAATAGAATTAATTAAAGTAACTAAAAAGAAATAACAACGAAACGTGGAAATATTACATGTTCGATTCACATATAAGCATCTAAAATGCTGCATTGTTGTCAATTTTAAATGATAAATAAAAGTTGCATTTAATTGTTGTAACATGTACCGAACAAAAAATCATTTTAACAAACAATAAAGATACCTAAATAAAATTTTAGCATTAAATAATATTATCTTAAAAGAAGGTTTACTTTATGTTCTTGCAAAACAATAAAGATACCTATAAAATTTTTTAGAATAATCATATGAAACATATAATGTACAGCGTTTTCAAAAAGTGTTGATAAATGTACACATTTTTCTCTTGATTAAAAATAATTATAATCAATTCGAATACAAATTTTTATACCAAATCGTAAAATTGTTTTATATAAATCAACAATCTTTGTATTGTACATTAATGAAATATTGTTTACAAAAACTGTGCTACACATCGCGTGATCGCTGAAAACCATGCTGTTTTACATTGTTACAAAAGATTTTATGTAAATCCAAAGAAATAGTAATAAATGCGTAAGACTTAATATACAATTGTTCGATAACCTATTATAGTTAGATTCGTTTAGTTTGTTTTATCAGACGTGCTGTAAGTTCTTATTTAGCGACAAATGTCTTCTTTTTATGTTACACGTGCGTATCTATACGCACCACGCATACAATACATACACACACATGCACGCGCGCACACCCTGGATATTCGAGAAACAAAGTTTTCTGTATACGTTAAAGTCCCGAGTCAAAAATAAGAGGGTTTCACAAATATTGGATTTTATTCTTTTGTTTTTACAGTCTATTCACAAACGATGTTGAACGTGTGCGTAAGCGTATTTCATTTTAATTTTATTATTTATCCAGTATATAAGTAAAGTAGTTAAGTGTAACTTGTGTCGCCCAGACTGTGTATGCACGCGTTCAACTTTACGAATAATTTAAAAACAAAAATCTGCTTAAAAAGAACTTATTCTATGAAGTCCTCTTATTTCAGTTACAGGATTCTTTTATGTATATAGTTCAATCTTTTCTTGTAGGAAATCGTTTTCACGATGATTTATTACTATTTATTAATTCAGACCATGTGCACGCAATATGGTCATCTAAATGGAGTTTCTGCTACGTAGGTCCTGCAAACAAAGCTGCGAACCCGCTATCAGTCGAATTCTCAGATACTTCATCCACGCGTATTGCTCGTTGTCTGTTGTTTCCAAAAACTTCTATTCGTGGTAAATTATCTATCTTAACTTCCTTGCGAAACAACTGACCAACACTTCGACCGATAAGCTGTAATATACATAACATGTGTAAACAGTGTACTATAGCTTTCTTCTTTATTTTAAGTATGATCCTATCAATATTACCTGATTTGTGATTTTCTTAAATAGATCTTTCTTTCCCTTTTCAACTTTATTTCCCTTAGTACTAACTACAGCCATCTTTTCGTCGAAACGTTGTAAATCCGTAGGATTAACGCCCGGAATTTTCTGCATTACCTCAATGATATTCGGAAATTTAGGTCGTAGGCATTCGTAAACTTGTGCACCCAAGGTTATCAAAGAACCTTGATTGGCTTCGTGTTGTCCGTGAAGTTGTAAGCCTTGAAGAATAGCTACCATAATATGTGCTGCCATGGCAGGTGTTAAGCTGCCATCAGCGGCTAATGCTCGTACAACAGGCCCAGTTAACGTTGTAGCCTTCAAACTGGCATTTGAATCGTTCCAAGCTAAAGCCCTGCACAGTATAAATTACTTATTTTAAATGAATTCTATTTTGGAATAAATATTAGATAAAAGGTTACATTTAAATTTATTACCCTAAAACACATAAAACAACACTGTGGCACGTAGACGGGTGACGAAGAACAACAGTTCCTAACTCGCTAACTACTTCAGCGACTATGCAATTTCCACGCGACGAAGGAGGATCTACGGCCATGCCTCCACTGTCTTGTTCCATAATATCAGGAGGTGTTGCATCGCTGGCAGCACCACCAACAAGAGCTACTTTCAACACATCCACAAAGTCTCTCGTCAAATTTCGATTTAACATATCAGCAATAACTTCTTGTGTGTCGGTATTTTCTTCATCTAAACCACCAGATTCATAGAGATGTGCGATATACTGCCACTTCGCACTTAACCTTTGGCACACTTGTTAAAAAATCATTAAATAGTAAATGAATGTACATCAAAAACAAATAAAATGAATGCTGTAATAAAAGATAAAAATATCTTACTATGCGTGGAAACATGGGCCAGTACAGGTACTAGAACACTTTCATAAAATGCAGGTGGACAAGAGTATATAAATGGCTTCATGAAAACGCGTATAATTGGTCGTAATCTATAATCTGGGATCATCTGAGAAAAATAAATAAAATTATTATTATTAAAGCATGAAAAATTTGTTATATTTGCTCGTTTTCATTTGTATATATCGTTACAATCAAATAAAACAAATAATAAAGTCTTACCTCCATATTAGAGAAAACTGAATTAATAAGTGCCGGTGCTAAGCCAGGTAACTGGTAGAAATCTCTCCCAATCATATGACATCCGCTGCCTAGCATATGATAGCATATATCATGAATAGTATTGAGAAACGATTGCATTCGAATTAAAGCCGTAAGCGAAGTTTGGTCAGGTTCAGAAACTCGTTCATTATCGTTTGTGTTATTTAAACCTAACAAATACGCTTTTTCTACTTCCAACAATTCGTGAGCATTTTTGTATCCCTAAATAAAAACAAATAGGAAATAGAAAAAAAAATACTTTTCGATTGTTAAATAAACAGGAAAGCTATCAATATCTTTAATTACCTCCGATAAAGCTGCTAAAGCAGCAGGCGTAAATAGAGCATTCATCGTTCTGAGCAATGCAAAAAGTGTTGGCAATACTGGAATCACATGTGGTGTAGCAGGATTTCTGTATATCGGATTTCCACTTTCGCTAAGTGCAGCTACAAAACTGCCTCTTGCAGCACGATCTGGATCATCCGGGATGGAACACCGTTTCACAACACACAATATCGTACAAATGCAAATCATTAAGTCGCTTCGATTTTGACATGCTGGGTCTTCCGTAACATTTTCAACGGGTGATCGGTCCAAACCTACAAATCTCATTAATTCAAGTGGCCCTTTAAACGATTCGGATCCAAGCGCGATAAATTTTGCTGATGCATCACCAATTATTTCGGCAACGAATCTCGTTTGTCTTTCATAATCACAAAAGTGATTTGATATTAATAACAGTGCTTCATACAGCAAAGTAGTTTCCATCTTAGATAATGGACTAGGCTCTATTGCTAAACCACGAACCATCGTATGTATTTGTTCGAAAACTGGAAGGAGCAGTAGTGGATATTTCAGACTGATTTTAATCATGAGACTAGCTGCATGTCGTCTTACATTCTTTGCTGCTTTAGATCGAGTACCCTTTGTTTCACCAGGTGCTTCAAATACCAGAGCAGCAAAGATCTTCTCCAGGACTCTAGGTAGGATAGCTACTCCTGGCATAGCCATTGAACCAGTTGACATAGATAAGAATACAAAAAGAGCGCTGATGCAAGAAAGTAGCGCAGATAACACCCAAGGATCTTGTGGAGAATAACCGAGACATAATTCCAATAATTGAAGGCCAGTTTGTACACTTGGTCGTTCGTTGATCAGAAGAATTCTTGATACAACCGAATCTAACGCTTGTGCAAGAGCTTCCCATTCAAGATATTGTGGATCATTCTGATCACTTTGATATCGAAGGTCTGCTATACCCTTTGTTATTTTAGCTGTTAACCACTGTTGTACATAACTAAATGTTACTAGTGGTGCTACCATTGTTGCTTGTCGAAATCCTTCCAATAAATCACTTCTGAACCGATGATAAAAAACATTGAATTCTTCTACCGAATCATAGTCCGCGAGACAATATGCACTCATTCCATTAGCTTGTCTACCTTGTGGATATACGACTTTTATAATCTTTGGCGCTGTATTTTCTACATATTTTGGTATGTAAGTTAATAACAATGGATCTTGCTTTATCTGCTCGTGTTTATACAGCATTATCCAGATTGCATTTGCCATGTGAGTTAATGTTAAACTTGAATACATGGTGAAAGTCAATACAGTATCTAAAAATATATTGAAATGTGTTGGTCGAATGCTGGAGCTATCATCTTTGCCCCAAAGTGTACATAATTGAGTTGCCATTCCAGTTAACACCTGAATTTAAAATTAATATATATTATTAACTATAGCTTATTTACAATTAATAATCTGTTTTAATAAACTGAAATTTACCTGTATCAGTTTTTTTAAAAACAAGTAATGATTTTCATGAAATTCGTTTGTTCCAGTAACAGGAGGTGCTGCAGTTGCTGCTGTATAAATATATCTCAAAGCATCTTCAGAAAATAAAATCATCAACTGTTTCCTGTCTTCAGCTTTTCCTTTACGATTTACAATTTGTAATAAACATTCAGCTGCTGAACACTGAAATATTGGGTCTCCCAACAAAAGACATAATATTTGTAGTAATCTACCATCTTCAGCCATGACATGATTGATTGAAATCCATTCCACAAACCCAGTTAGTGTAGATAATACTACCTGTTATGTAACAATAATTAGCATTAATTTCATAAACATAATTTTATTTTTAGAAATCTTTAAATTAAATTTACCTGTACAACTTTACTGTGTGCTGCTGCCTCAGATGTACAACCTAAACTGCTTTTCTTTTGAAATTCTGAAATATGCTGCTCCATTAATCTTAAAAAAAAACTAAAAATTTCAGCCATGTTTGTAGTAAGTGCTTGATATATATCCTTTCTTCTTTGATTGGACTCCAAAGTTTGTAAAAGTGCAACATCTTCTATAAGTCTTAAAAACACTAGAAGGACCAACTCTGTTTGACTTTCACCCCTTGTACAAGCTTGACTGAGTTCTGCTAGGAGTGTAGGCCATTGTTGTGGCCATTCCCTTTTAATCATTTCTACCACAACACGAGAAAGTGCATCTTTGATATGTGCTTCCTCTTGTAATAATGGTTCTGTGCCTTCTTGAAGCAATTTCATTGCATTTTCTTTTATAAATATTTTTTCCGATTGAGATATTTGTGTCCATCGATATTTAATACAATGTTCCATAAGTTGAAGTCCAAAATGACGTACTACAGAACTTCTGTTTGGAGCTTTCTGGGCTAGATATAATCCACATTGTGCACATAGGGGAGATGTTTCTTTAAATCTTTCACAAGCATTATATACTTCCAAACGTTGCTGTTGTGGTACAACTGGTGACATCATCACCTCTACCACTTGAGCAAGTTCTGCTGATATCTGAGCAACACTGCCCACCCCGAACTCCATTCCTACCTATTGCACTGTAATTGAAAGCAATAATTACTTGCTACATTTTGCATGTATATTTGTTGTTATTTTTACTTAAATTTTCATTTTCTTTATTTTAATTTATATTACAATTACATTGGTAATAATGTAATATACAATATATAATGAATATATTCATTAAAAATGTACAATATAAGATTATAAGAATCTTTGTAAGTATCTAACAGCTTTTTTTAACATGTATAAAGATGAATATTTTTATTTGTTGTAACTTTGTAACGTTTAAGTCATAAAATTGATACTCAAATATTTGACCTCTAAAACATATGTGTAAAACATACCAATCACATTATCTGTTCCTTCTTCAAATGATAAAAACCATTAACACTTTTTTCTATCATTTAAAGCACTTTTATAAATACAATATATCAAGGTAAGGTAAAATTCAGTGTCCATGAACATACAATATTTACAAACAACGTGCAAATCTTTACCATTTGGCACAAATTTCAAACAAATAAAATCGAATAAGAAACACTTAAATTTCGTTAAATGACATTTTTTCAGAATTCAAATTCACGGTCGAAATGAATAGAAATAAACGTGACTCGTAAAAGATATCGAAATCCCGTGCGTTCTATGAAAATTTATAGAGATTCCTAGAAATATGCAAAGAAATTAAATGACGTGAAATCGCGTAATTATAATGCAAGAAAAACACGAGGCGAAGCAGCTTGTAAAGTTGTGTAGCATGCCCTGGTAAGCATGCCTTGACAGAAGGCACCTACCTCGTAACGCGATCGTAGATCGAGACGGATCGAAGATACACGTTTGGCAAGAATTCTGCCAGTATAGCTTGTCAATTCATATCTGATGGTCGCTTAAGGAGTCAAAAACTCGCGGCGTGTACAAGTGGTGATCTTATATTTAGTCAAAGAAGTTCGCTTTCGAGAGATATGCGGCACGTTGAACGATTACATATAGCACACGTAAAATACCTACTGCCCTCTACACGGTTTAAATTCAACCTAACCTCTCCTTACAGCGCGTGTATGTTTTTTGTTTATACGAATCCTAATCACGGTTATAACGTAATGGTTATTTGCAATAATTACACCGCAAAAAGATTGATGAACTAAAAAGTAGAATCGTAACGATCATTTACCTTTCTTATATGTTCGTAGAGACTTTTCCCAGTGAAACTTTCAAATGAATTTAATTGATAGAACTTTAAAGGTTATGCCGGTGTTTTCTTGTTGATCGTAATACGAGCACGTCGCTTATATTGGTCGCAATAATACAAATACACGATGGATGAAGCTTTGACTACACCACCTATATTTCAATTACATTTCTCTAAGCAAATATATTGTGTCGAATTATCCCCTTACGAATGGTCTCAACAATTAATTTGTGTCGCCTTGGCTGAAGAAATTGTTATTGGTACTATTAAATTTCAGGTAAAATCATCAAGTTTCATCATCTACGTGTACGCACACAGTGAATTTTTAATTTTCAAACTTTGCATAATACATATAATTGATATTTTATGAAGATAATTTCTTATAATAAAAATTTAAAGTGTAACTTAAAGATTATTTCCTGATTAAGTTGAAAAATATGCAACGTATATTTTAATTTTCTAAAAATGTTAATCAATTCAAAAAATAGATAATAGAATTATAAAAAAGTTTATTTCGGAATAAATAACATTTTGATTTGGTAAGGATGAAGATGAAGCAGTAGAAGACATAGCTTACAATCCTTTTAGAACATTTCGTCATGATACTAGACCACATGCTATTGCTTGGAGTCCTGAAACCTCCTTAAGCGTTGTTCCAAAAGTTATAATGTTTTGTGTTGCTGGAGCAGATTTCAAAATAAGATTATATAGCAGTGATATGAATGAAAATACTGTATGTGAGGTAAAGTGAAAAGTTATAGTAAATGTGCAATTTATTTATTGTCAATAAATATTGTTAACAATGATTTTTTTAATACTAGATGGATGGACATAAGGATTATATAAATTCACTTTGTTATGAAACTGAAGGTGAAATATTGGCTTCTGTATCGGATGATCATACTTGTAAACTTTGGGCTGTGAAAGAAGATGAAAAATGTATATCCACATTTTATTTAACATCTCCTGGAATGAGTGTATGTTTTCACTCTGAAAAATCTGGCAAGCTCCTTGTAGGAGAAAAAAATGGATTGATTCACATGTATGATGTGCGAAGCCAACAAGCAATTATGTCTTTAGATGCAGATATTGTTCCCTTAATGTCAATTGATTGGGGTCCCAATCCATTAAAAGTTGCAGCTATGGTAGCTGGAAAATTAATCCTATGGGATGTATCTAAACCTAGGTAATAAAACTATACATGCATTTAAAAAATCAAATTACAAACAAATTAGTAATTACTTTATGTCAAATGAAAATTTTTCACTTTCAGCCCACCTTTAGAATCAAAACCTCTTCATATTGAAGGAGGATTAACAGTAAAATTTTCTCCTATTCATGAACATTTTGTAGCAAGTATAGGAAGACCAGACAATTTATTGAAAGTTACAAATATAAAAATTGAACAAGAAATACTTTGTGGTCAAGTCAAATTAATAGGTGGTATAACTTGGCATTATAAGTTACCATATATTTGCGCGACGAGTGACAGGGAAATTCGTTTTTGGAAAGTAACTTCAAATTAAAAAATAGCTATAATATTTTATTATTTTTGCTATTATTATTTCTTTATTAATAAAATAGAAAATATTGTGTAATTATAGTTAATTTTTATAAATAAAAGTCATATTTTGTTATAGTGGACATTTCATTGTTGTTTAGTTCTATTAACGTAAAACACATTGTTTATCATAGTTCAAAATATTAAGTACATATACGATTTATTTATGTCGTAGCATTTGTCCATGTCGTGGAAATAATTTTTGATAACTTAGTTTGAATAGTTATATCCAATAATTTGCAGCTTAATTCGTTTGCTTTGCTATAAACCATAAGAGGATTTGGAACATAAACTAATTCATTGAGCAATTGTTTCTTTTCACTGTTTAAAGCATTCAATTCTTTCATAAGAGATTCTATATGTTGATCATTTTTATCTTCTTCTTGTGTTTTGTCTAACAAAAAATTAGTATCAATTTTTTTAAATTAGATTAATTACTAATAATTAATCAGATAACGTTTCTATGTAGTAACTTACTTGTAACAGATGCTATTTGATTTCCAAGTTTGTTAATTTCATACGTTATTGACCAGTATTTCACTGTTCGTTTGTTTAATGCATCTTCCAGTAAATGTTCCATTAAACTGATGTAAGTTTGTATATCATTACTAACGGGTTCTTCGTCTAAATTGCATACGAGCCACTTTAGAAGGGCATAACATAAATAAGCTCTTAAACTAGTTGATACAGGATAGTCAGTTTTTGCAAAAATGCTTCTTTCATTTGTTAAATTTTTAGAATCTAACTGTATAATAATTTTGTACAAAAGACTGCTCCCATTTTGAAATTCTTCTGGGTGTAATGTTTCAAACTGAGTAATTGTGTGTAGTGCATTAACAATATGTTTTAATTTCTGTTCTTTTTCACTAGAAGCTGTAGCTAGTGCAAATTCATGAGAGATGCTCAAGCATAACTAAAATTAGAAATTATTAAACATAATGATCAAATTATCTCTAGTCTTAAAAAAGTTAGCTATTTGGATTTTTACCATTTTCTTGTTTTCTAAAGTATTACAGAAGTTACTTTGACATAAGTCAGTGTAATGAGGACTACAATCCCCGCATATTGTTTCCAAAGCTTGCAATAAGCCATAGTTTGATTTCCCATTCACCCATGTTTGTATCATATCAACATTTACATTTTTCTTAATTATTTTTTCGAATTCTTCCAGAGTTAATAAATGTATTTCTTGGTACTAGAAATAAGTCCATTGTAAGGAATATTAATTAGCTAAAACAACGAATAAATAGATACAAAACATATATGGCGTAAATATACCTTGAGAAATGGAAATTTAATTATTATAGTTCGGACTAAATTGTATTCTGAATTTGTCAAAGCTGTAACTATTGTTTGCTCAGCTAAAGATTTTCCCAGAGTATCATTATTGCATAAAAGAGCAATTTCAGCTGCCGTCATTAACGTACTAACATCTTTACGACGTGCAAGATATTTTATTGTATCAGAAAATTCTCCTAATTTAGCATAACTAAAAATTAAATTATAAAATTATTTACGATATCTATCGTATGATTTATGATTACTTACATATATGCTGCTTCTTCAAAATTGCCTGTATTTACAGTATATTTTGCCCAATGCCTTAGTACATTTGTCAGAACTGGGTCATCTGATTCGAGTTTGCACCTTGCAAGAACATACGCTTCCTTATATAAATTCGCATCTTGAAATACTTCTATAGCTTTATAGGTTTTATGTATACATAGTAAATATGACACTGCTTTATAAGGATTGCCTTCAATTATTAATTGATGTGCATACAGTTCACACATATCTTTCCATGTTCTGTAATATATTATTACTAAATCATTCTTATGATTTTATTAACCCTTTGGAAAAAAGTAAATAATATTACATACTTCATAGAAAGACTAGCTGAAAGTGAAACAAGGAAGTCATTAAGGCGTTTCTTTTTAGCAGCTTCCTCTAAGTTTTGTTTAAAATTATCACACCATAGATCTATCTCTGTGATCACATCATATTTACTTTTTTCATTATGATAGCATTCTAGATATTGATAAAAAAATATAAAATATAATAAATAATTTAATATAAAATTTGACTTTAATAATAAAAAACTTACTTTCATTCGATAAAAATGACATAAAACTGTCTTGTGTTGAAAATAATATTGGTATCATATGATACGACGTATTCTGACTTTCGTCACTACTAACATTTTCGCTTTTCATACTTTTTATGATATTTAAAAGCGAGTTAAGTAAAGGTACTTTTTCATTTGCTGCATTATTGCTTTTCGCAAAATATGATGTTCGCTCAGATGTTTTCTTTTTCATTTCCTTTGATGTTGTTCCTGACTCTGAAATAAATGATGAAAAATCGTTATTAAAAT